TATATATATATATATATATATATGTTTTAAGGAAACTATGTGATATTTCCTTGGCGAACTGTGTCGCGTGCGTATGTGTACGCTATTTCTATCGTGTTTTGATATATGAGTTGCCCACACGATAAAATGATGTAGAACACACGCCTTTATTGATATTGCCACAACGAAGCTGCGTGCTGCGTGAGGAACTGATTAACGTGGGAATCATAAATTTTAATCGGAAACGAAGTAAAAGTTAGGTACCGGAGAATAAGCGAATACCCTAGATTGTGGCGCTGCATAACATACTCAGAACTAGTAACTTAAGAATCTACAGATGCATGCGAGCGCTCCATATAACGAGAAACACTCGCTGGAAATTCAAGAGTCGTACGCAACAATGTATGTATATAACAGGAGTGGAAGTTACTTTTTAAAAGTAATACGTTACTGTTACCGTTATTTGCGGTGAAAAATAACTCGCCGTTACCCATTCTAAAAAGTAATGCATTACCATTACTTAAAAAGTAACGATAAAAAATTGTCACTTTTCGTTACTTTTTTGTGCAGGATGAGACGAGCCTACTTACCGATTTTGATGAAATTAGAGTCATTCGACACGTTTTTGCACGAAATGAACGAATCTGGCAGAAAAATAAGTATCGCTGCCCGATAAATTAAAATCAATGGTTAAAGACTTTTTAAAATGGTAAAACAGACTTTAGGACAGAATATAAATAAACTATAAGATATTTAACATTTATCTTTGAATTTTTTATCTTTTATTAATATTTTATATAAATATTAAACATATATTAAACATAATTATTATGTTTAATTCTTTATTTTATTATATAATAGATATTTTAGTTTTTAGTTTTTTAGTTATTTAATTTTTTAGTGTTCTTATGTTAAAATGACGATAGTGATCGAAACAAAAATAAGCAAAAAGTTTTTGTTTATTTAATATCTATAATTTTTATTGTCCATGACGGCCATTCACATGATACTCATAGATAGGACGCATACATATATTCATGGGAACTACAACAAAGACATCTCAGAATCAGATCTATCTCTTTCTATCGCATTGAATCAGCAGTCTGTTTATATAAGTCTATGGTAAGAACTATACTTATTACCTAAATAGAAATCAAATCTCTCAGACAATCATATACGATTACAAAACTTTAATTTATATGTCTTCTTATGATATATTTTATATTTAGAGATATATTATTAATTTATATTATTAATTTTTTAAAATACTACAGACCTTTTAGTTTATAACCTTTTTATTTAGAGATATTTTATATTTTATATTGTAAGTTCATAACCGAATTTATTAACATTGAAAATGATCGGGTACAAAACGTTTATTATAGACCATTGTTTTTGTTTCTAATTTAATTATTTATATTATTAACTATTTAACTGTTTAACTATTTATATTATTAAAAAGATTTTTATATTAAGCTTATTTCATATTATTATTTAAATATATGTTTGTTTCACTTCAACTTATTGCACCAGTTCAGAGAATGCAGCAATAAAAAATAAACCTTATGTACAGTAGAATCTGGATTATTTGTTTTTTTAATCTCCCGGATTGTTCGACATAGGGTTCTTTCCAGCAAGAGATGATACAGCGTAAAGCGGGAAGCACAAACTCTTGCATAACGCATAAACACAATCTTCATACGCACATATGTAAGGCATAAAAAATTCAACCAATCAAAATTTTTTATTTCATGAAAAGAAAAGAAAGGAAGGACTTTGATTCTTATCTTTTTCACTTTTTGCATTACGTATTATATGTAAAGCAGTCTGCTTCCCGCTTAATACAATGAATCATTATATCTTGTTATTTGCTAATGTTAAACGAAGATGACATGTTCATTGTGTCATTCTGTGTTGCTTGATGAAAAACACCATTCACTATTAAGTTTTTGTGATGATAACATTATGCATCTTCTTACTGATTGAGATGCAAAATATTAAGAAACCGCTTTATAAGAGTTTTTATAAGAGGGAATTATAAGAGTTAAGAGAGATAGTCTACTTAAAACTGAAATTTATAATAATATAATAATTTTAGAGTTTATTATGTTTTTAATTTTATTTTGATTAATATAATCATTAAAAACTTTTTTGTTTTTTAACTTTTATTAAAAGATTCGAAATTTACGAATTGAGAATACAGGACATGATACTTTATGCTAAAAGCTTATAAAAAAACTTTTTCTTTTTGCAAAATTGTCTAACAAGTAATTTTCGCAGGAGAGCAGATTGAAGTTATAATTTTACTGCAGGAAAAAGTTATTCGTTTCAGCACAAAAAACAACTTTTTCCTTTAGCAAAATTCTGATAAAAAGTTTTCAGGAGAGCAGGTTCAAATTATCAAATAAGCGCAAAAATTATTTATTGGACGCAATTTTGCTATAGGAAAAAATTGTTTGTTTTAGTAGAAAGTATTATGTTTTGTACTTTGAATTCATGAATCACCTAGTATATATTTTTATAAATGAGACTCTTATTTATATAAATAAATTAGCACATTATAAATAAATAAGAAACGCTTAAACTTTTATTTTTACAATGTGTTCAAAACTACTCCAAGATAATTTAAAATTCCCTCCTCCCCCCCCCCCAGAGAGTTTTGGAGAGGGAACATAAAGAGTAGTTTTTAAAATAAAATATATATGTCATTATGATATTTGTTTCAATGTTTATTGTACATCAATATCTATAGTAATTATTAGCACAACAGAAATACAAATAATTTCATTATATAGTAATTTATGAGACCAAGAAGAAAAAGTGTTCAAAGCTATCCCCTTCTCCCCTACTTTAAATTCTAAAAGTTGCATGTTGCATCAACATATTAATCAGTATGTCAGGTTGAATGTACTTTTCAAATGTAGTACTTTTTTTTAGTAAGTATTAAATTTATAAAATTAGTCGATTGATTACATTTGTAAAATTGATCAATTGATTACGTTTTATAAATGTAATACCTACTTATAAATGTAATGTCTTCTTTAGTAGGCATTATATTTATAAAATAGCCGACATATTGATCAATATATTGATGCAACAGGCGGTACACTTGTTTAACCATAGAAAACAGACCTCATGTACATACAAGACTATTAGTAAACAGTTGTTTGTTTCATTGCTACGAATAAAAATTGCGTCTGTGCACTCAATGACTAAAATTGTAATTTGCGTATTTAAAAAAAATATTAAAAAAAATTTTGTTTATTCTTTATTGTATTTTACATGCTTTTAATTTTTAATAGTTATAGAAATTTTACTTTAAAATGGATTTGTCGATATTGTTTAAATCATTTTTAAACTTCTTTTAACTTTATTTTACACATGTTTGTAAAATTCAAAGATGTGTCATTTTCTTTTTTCACTTTTACATTGATTATAATATAAATAAATATTTTTACAATTAATGTATTATAAGAGTTAATTTATTATTATTTTTTAAAGGATTTTTTTTTACTTAATAAATAATTATTAACATATAATATATTAAATATACTAAAATAGCTTTCTATGCAAATTTAATTTACAAATTTCTCCAAATTTTGTCAGAGAATAATTTAATTTTTTTAAATAAACGGAAGCATATTCAGCATTCAAAACTGTGAGAAATAATTATCTTCATATTTTTACATTTTTTGTCAAATTGTGTAGTAGATTTATCAAAATGGAGATTTAATAGATATATATTGTCAAATATTCAATATATAAAATCACATTTTATATGAAATTTTATATGAAATTATAAATCTTCAGGTTCCAAGTAATTAATAGATTTATTTATTTCGTTTTAAGTTGTTGAAGACTTTAAACAGCCTGAAACGAAATAAATAAATCTATTAATTGCTTGGAATCTGAAGATCTCGCAAACAAACTTTTTATTTAATTTTGAGATTTATTTAAATGTGAAATATAAAATAAAATCAGAAAAGATTAGATATTAGATAAGATGTTGTGTTTCGAATTTATTGTTCTTTCAGTTTTCCATTCGAAAATTCAGTGGAGATGCTGTCTATTTCCATCTTTGTTTCGATTGTCGGTTTTTTCTTCATATATGTTTTATAATAAAAATCTCCAAATAACATAATCATAAATAAATTCTGCGGTACCATCACATATATTGGCCATAGTGGAAAACCGCAATTTTCCACCCAGGTTAATTGTAAATAGTGTAAAGTGATCACGAAAAATTGGACCAGCTGCAATTGAGTGATGTGCTTTTTCCATAAACTTGTGTTTATCTTCATGGACGCTAACAGATAGTGCGTATACATTATTATGTGAACAAATGTATTAAAAAAACCTGAAACATATTATTAGTAATTAATTCATCAAAATAAGAATGCTTTTGTCGATGGATGAAACTTATTAGTCAATCATACGGCGCGCCTGTACTCATTTGTTTTCAAAATATATTCATAATTTTAAAAATCGCCTGGATACATAAATGACTCTTTACATGTTGAGAGGAGAATAAATTTTTCTTTTAATATAAAAATTACAGTCGATATACGCACAAATGTGAAAGAATAACACAAAGAGAAGAAGTTATATTTATTAGAAAATAATAGGAGTTATGTTATCTTTTTTATTTAGAATAGTTAAGGAAGTTACATGAATTTTTAAATATTTTTTGAATTAGTTAATTCATAAAAAAAACATTCCGGACATTAATGACTTGTTCATACTAAATAGATCTGTATTATAAAAACGTTTTTACACGTGTGAGTTAATTATATTGCAAAATGTAATATTCTAAATTTATGTAGCGCGCTTACAGCAACCGATCGATTTTTATCGACATTTGATTAGCGCGATCACGCCTTCCTGATGCGATCGATATAGAGGGAACAGATATATCAATATAATATGACGAAGTATAGAGAGAAAGTAAACGTGATCTGCTGGTTTTAATATATCTTGCCCGTATTTATCCTATAATTATGTATTTATGTATTTA